TGCTGTATCTAGAACCGCAGTGTGTAGCACAGACCACCCTTCTATATTGAGCAAAAATAAAAAATGTCTGTGTCAAGCTCACTGCGACACAGTGCTGTAAGAGTATAACCAGGAAGCGAGGTAGGAGGGCAAAATAGGTTTAGCGCCACCGCAGCACGGGAGGGAGAATTACGTCCAGGAGCAAATGGATAAAAATAGACCGGAGGAAAAAAAAAACATGAATCGATTCTCTTGCAGACGTGTCGATGCATCGGATCGTCGGGTGTTGGATCGATAGAAAACGATTATTATTTACACCCCTATTTAGCATCGTCATTTTTTTCCCGAGTTACGCATTAGTAAACAGCATAATTACTTAAAATAAGTGCCTTTGTTCTTGGATTGAGACGGTAAAATACACATTTTGCCAATGGAACAAGACAATTTACACCTAAAATCAGAAAACACAAATGCATTGTCTTATTTCAAGTGCATATTAACTAATTATCTTATTTTAAATGTAAAGATACTCATTCCATTGGCAAATTGCCTCATTTACCTACTTAAATGAAGGATAAATACAGTTAATTTAAGAAATGTATACCTTTCTTCTAGCTCTTTTTTCCAGTGTACACCTGAAACTTTTAAAAAAACTATCAATATCTAAAGAGGTCCTTTCTTCTTAAAATAAGTGCCTTTGTTCCTGAACTGAGGGGGAAAATGAGCCACTTTGTCAATAGAACAAGACAGTTTAACTTTAAAATAAGAAAGAATAATTATTGCATTGTTATATTTCAAGTGCATATTATCTAATTATCTCATTTTAAGATTAAAAATACTCATTCCATTGACAGATCATCTTATTTACCTTTTCAAATTAAGGTTAAATATATTTAATATAAGAAATGTTATTTCTAGATTGTTTTTGCAGTATATGAGCGAAAATCAATGAATTGTCGCTTACCTTGGTACACTGCAAAATAAATCATTTAGAAATTAGTACAAATTCTTTAAAAAAATTGTATTTACTCTTAATTTGATCAGTGAAATAAGATGGTCTGCCAATGGTATGAGTTTTTGTACACTTAAAATAAGATCATTAGATATGATGCACACGAAATAAGAGACCGTTGCAGTTTTTTATTATTTTAAATGTTAATTGTCTTATTCCTTTGGTGAAGTTTGTCTCTCAATGTAAAAAGAAATGCACTTATTTGAAGAAAAATCTACCTGCTTGGATTTCAGTTTTTGCAGTGCACAGACGTTGAATCATGAGCTCCCGTTGGTTGCCGTCATGTCCAGCTGCTCTCAGCAGCTCCGTCCATCTATTGCATTTTCTAAGCCTGGTTTCTGATTTTGGGGAATAAAACTGCCTGTGTTCCACCCTTTAACTAGTTAGTAGTACTTAGTAAAGCTAATGCATTAGCTTCATGTTACTGGGTGACTCATGTCTCTGTCTATCATTAGTCTAAATGCTGAAAACTTTCCTGGAAGTGACTCCGTACTCTAATCTGATTGGTTCAGCCACATTGAGGCAACATGTTAAGGTTTTTGTCCGAGCTGTTGGATCAGATTCTTGCATCAAGTGATTAACTATCTGGGTGATGTTTCTTTCTACAGTGGAGAAAAAAATCAAATATCAATTTTTGTTTTTTTTGTTTATTAATGACGCCTATAATTTAGGAAAATATGGATGTTTTTTTTATTTTTTTTCCCCAATCCACTGCCTGAGCTTCCTACGGAAGAGGATTAGGGCCACTGGAAAAAAAAAAACAAAGTTAACTGATTTTTTTAATTTTATTTCAGTATAGTATGGGAAAAAAGTCAGAATTCTGACTTTAATCTCAGAATTCTGACTTTTTTTCCCATGTTAAACTGAAATAAAATTTAAAAATCAGTTTACTTTTTTTTTTTTTCAGTGGCCCTAATCCTCTTCCGTAAGCATCAAAGCTCAGACTAAGATTAATTCATCACTTTTTGTTTTTAGATGTCTCCTCATAACTGACGGGGAAAAAAAACACTCTTTGAGATCACTAGCTGTTTTATTTTCATTGTTTGTCGTGAAACATGATTATTTTCCAGCTGGGATTTTGTTTCCCTTTAAATTAAGCTCACCTCCCAGAGGGGATGACGGACATCAAAGCTAGTTTTTCAGAGCAATTTATATAATTTATTGTTTTTGTTATGAAACTTGAATAAAAAAATTAAAAAGAGATCAACTAATCCGATTTGGCAGGAAAGAAACATCAGAGATCAGACTTTTAAGCCCTGTGGCCCATCCCCGTGCTTTCTGCAAACAATTTAACCCAATCGTTTAGGTTCTGTTACCATGGTGATTATAGGCTCAAGAAGCTACAAGTTTTAATTGCATCGCCACTTGTTGTTTTGAACAGTAGTTGAACGTAGTTGCAGAGTCTCTTGAGTCTTTATGTTTAAAAAAAAAGGACAAAATGTTGCATTTGTGCCATTTTGGTAAAAATCTAAATCAGACTAAAAAGAGAATTGATTTGTTTTAAAACTGGAAGTTTGAGTTAGAAAAATCTCACTGTTGTTCACAAGAATCTGTAAAAACTAAATGAAAATGTGTTTGATTTTTAGTTTAAGCTGGTTTTGTCTTTTTTTTGATAAGTCTATATTGCAGGCAGTAGTTTTTACATGACTTTCCTGAGTTAACCTTACTGTAGTCTCCTACTGAGTAAAGACTAGGTTTTAACCCACATCTGTCAATCCCATTCCTCTAAGAAGATTGCAATGAAAGCTGCACAATCCTCAGCATAACCTCCGTGTGTGTGTGTGTGTGTGTGTGTGTGTGTGTGTCCATGCCCAGCAGACAGACCAGCAAGGTAATCCTGTTAGCATGACGGTGCCCCATGTCCAGCTCATCAACCCAGAGAACCAAATTGTAGAGGTGAGTCAGCGCTGAACCCTTCATGGGTGGTTGTTGTTGTTCCAGCCTGTAACGTTATGCTTGTGAGCTCAGCTAAAAGAAGTCTGAGATGAAAGCTGCTTGTACCTTTTCAAAGTTGCACTCGAAGAACGACTATAGAGTCGTTTCTTCTGTTTACTACGCGTGTTGACTCAAACCCTCCCTGCAGACTGTTGTCGGTCCCAATCGCACATGCATGCTCAGACATAACACTGAAGCTCTGAGTCACAGGCACGGCGTCAGCTCCCTGCACCGCAGCGGAGATTCGAGTGGAAAACTCAAAGATGTTTAATAGGATGAAACTGGGATTGATTTAAGATTTTATATCGACCTCTGACGTAGATTTCTGATCTTTAAATCTGTTTTTGTTCAGCCTGATGGTAACATGGCGCTGGACAGCGATGAGGGAGAGGAGCCGTCTCCAGAGGCCATGGCTCGCTACCTTTCTATGAGGCGACACACTGTGGGGGTACCAGACCAAAGGTGACTTTTATTAAAACTGCTTTTCCCTCTGATCTCAATATCGAAACATTTCTCTTTCCTTTTTTTCTGAAAGTCTTTTCTTACTCACAAAAGTTTTATCCCCATTGAACTTCAACCTTATATTGGGATTTTGTTTTAAAAAGCAGTGTGGAAAATAAGGATTTTACCTCACTGCTATTTTGCAAGCTCTTCAACTTAGAAATCATGGAGGCGTCTGACATTGTCATTGTAGGTGCATGTCCACTGTGAGAGACATAATCTAAAAAAAAATATCCAGAAATCACAATGTATAATTTTTTTAACTCTTTCTTTGTATGATACAGCTGCAAATAAGTATCATACAAATAAAGAGTCTTTTTCAGCCCGTGGCCTTCTAGCCTCGTGAGACCATCCTGATTTCGCGAGCTTTCAAGGTTTCACTTGCAGATCAGTCTGGAGACTCTCTGTTGAAGAAAATTTGGAGCCGTTCACCAAACGAACGTCCAATCAGCGTTGGCTTTGAGGCGGGTTGAGGTGTGACGCAACGAGAAGCGCGGCAGTTCAGTCTAAAGAACATGGCAGCTTCAGCCGATGAAACTAGCGTTAGCGTGGCTATCGAGCAAGTTTTATCGGAATTACAGAGTATTTCTTCACCGAAAGAAGCGCAAAACACTGCTCTGGAGGCTTTTCTCAGAGGAAAAGATGTTTTTGCTCTTCTCCAGACTGGTTTCGGCAAGAGTTTGATCTATCAATTGGCTCCTCTTCGTCGTCGCTCTGGTACGTCATATGCTTCGTTGATCTGATTGGTTTATTTGGCCCGTCTATCACCAACATAGGCCAATCAGCTAACCAGTATTTTCGCCCCTTCCCAAAATTACTTCAACGGAAGGTTTCCAGATGGATATGTGGAGCAAATCTATCTGGCGGAATCAGGTTAGTGGCCTTCTGCCAGAGGTTAATTGTGAGTAAGAAATGGCCCAGTCAAAGTCCAGAGTTAAATCTTAAGGATCTGAAGGAGATAAAGTCTATAGATGTGCAAAACTGGGATTAAAGTTATTATTTAAAGCAAAAGTAAAGACCTGCTGACTAACTTCTGATGTTCGGGTGCTTCCATCACAGGACGGAGATGCAGGAGGAACTCCAGAGGCTTCCACCAGGTTTCCCTCGTGGTGTGATCCCCCAACCCCCCTTCCCTCAACTTACCCCCACTATGGCCCAAATGCACACACTCATGCCCACACAGAGCCTGCAGCCTACGCAGCAGCTGGAGTACAAGGTACAGTGGCTGAGTTTATTCTGGATGCTTTTCTTTTTTTTTTAATCTGTGGAAACCCTCCTGAATATTTCCCCTCCGTACGACGCTGCAGGAGCAATCGCTGCTGCAGCCGCCTACTCTGCAGCTCCTAAACGGCATGGGCCCCCTGGGCCGAAGAGCTTCCGATGGCGGGGCCAACATCCAGTTACACGCTCAGCTCCTGAAGAGGCCCCGAGGGCCCTCGCCGCTCGTCGCCAGCCCGGTGAGGCTCCATATCTCTGCATGCACGTGTTTTTCAGCCCGTGTGCCGAACTTGTTTGACGAGTGAACTCTTTGCCTCTCTCAGCATCCTAATACCTCTGTAGCTCCGGTGGATGAGGAGGGGTCAGATGGAGAGCCAGACCAAGAGGCGGTGCAGAGGTAACCCATGGTGACGGGGTTTTTGGCTAAGGGTATTGGTTATAGAGATGCCGTCTGAACAGGGAAACGCTGAAATCTAGAGATACCAGGTCAAAGTTGAGATGAAGATTAGAGCTAGTCAAAAAATTCGTAGTCAGACTCATAGAATGCGCTCCAGAATCTATCGGAGGGTATTTCTAGGGTTTATTTTAAAATCATTTGTAGGTCGAAGGTTTCAGCTTCTCCTCTTCAGACTGCATGTCCTCGTCTCCTCGCCGGTGTCCTGGGTTGCTGGGAGTAAGTGCCTTCAGGCTGCTCTGCTTTTTTCCCCCCTTGGGAGGTGGCCACTGTGCTGTGGTGCTTATCCCATCTTTTCCTCTTTCTCCATCGCGCAAAGTGCCTTCTGCCACCATCCCGAAGCGATTCTGCCATCCGTTCTCTCAAACTCTCTGACCCAGAGCTGCTTTATCTTTCTCATCTGCGTAAGTGCCAAAATGGTTCTGTGGACTTTTTTTTTATTTTCACCCTTTCTCACACAGCTTTGCTAACTCTGAAGCTTGCCAAAGCGGCGACCGCAAAAGAACGTAGCAACCGACCCGATCCTTTAATTGGCAGCTGGGTGGTTGTTTGAATCCCATAAAGCCTTAACATCCATCTGTGGTGTCATTTGATTTGATGTTTTCTGATTAGCTAAGATGATATGAATGATGGCACCTTTTGGCAGAGGTGGGAAGGGCTGGGCCTCCCCCGCCCCCATCCCTGTTAGCCAATGAGGACAGAGAGCTGACCAGCGCTGCTTCCTGTCTCCCACCCTCACCCCGTCCTCCTTCCCCCTTCCTGCGGCCCAGGTACCTGGCGAACCGCTCCAAGCGGCACACGGCGCACGTGCTCCCAAGCATTTCGCATGGCGACCCCTCGACAGAGTCGCAGCGGCCCCAGGGCCCCCGCCAGAGGGGCGGCTGGGTGCCTGACACATATGCCCGGTGAGGGGACACGCTAACTCTGACCTGTATATGCACCAACACACTCCCACGCACAGAGTCCCACTTAAACACTCACACATAAAAAAAGTGCCTGGCTCTGGTTATCACTTCCTCACATTGGTGCGAAGGCACCAGGTGAGGGATGTTCTTCCATAGAGATGCACCGATCACTTCATCTTGATTCCTCCTGGTTATTTTGAAGGTTTTTTTTTTTTTTTTATTCTACATTTCTCTTCAGTAACTAAAACCCACTCAAAATTAGAAAGGTAACGAGGAACTAATGGGTTGTTATATAGTTAAGGTGGCAGTGGAGCCTCCAATCCCATTATATAATTATATGTAGTCCCACTGTAAAAATGCACCTAAAATAAATTTGTTTCTTGAAATAAGTGTAAATAACACTTTTATTAATACTCTGCTCAAAAAAATAATGGGAACATATGAACAACACAATATAATTAAATCAAAATTTTGTGAAATCAAACTCTACTCTAGTCAACTCTTGTCTCCTTGGGAAGCAACATTGACAATCAATTTCAAATGCTGTTGTGCAAATTGAATAACAACAGGTGGAAATGATTGGCAATTAGATTTCTATGTGTCTATATATACTCTTTACCCTGTATATAGCTAGCTCTTAGTTATAGAAAACATATTTATTGTTCAGGAATAAGGTTTTAGCTCTGTTAGACTGGTAGCCAGGTAATTGACATTTCATCGTCAAGATTCACCTTGTGTTTTTTTGTGCAATGACAATAAAGGAAGTCTAAGTCTAAGACACACTCAATAAAGAAGTGGTTTTGCGGGTGGGGACCTCAGACCGCTTCTCAATACTTATGCTTTCTGGTTGATGCTTTGGTCACTTTAGAATGATAGTGGTGCCTTTACACTCGTGGTTGCATTGGACAGACATTGTAGGAAGATCATAAAGGCACATGGAGGCCACAGACAATACTGAGCCTCATTTTGACCTGTTTTAAGGACATTACATCAAAGTTAGATCAGCCGGTAGTGTATTTTTCCCTTTAATTCTGTGTTTGACCCCAAATCCAGGCCTCTGTTGGTTAATTAATTGTATTTCCATCGATATTGTTGTTTCATTTTTTTTGTAAGAACATTACATTTTGTACAGAACAACATATTCAATGAGAATATTTCATTCAATTATATCTAGGGTGTATTATTTGTGTGTTCCCTTTTCATTTTCTTGAGCAGTGTATATTAAGGATGTTTTTTTCTTGTTTTAAGCGCAAACATATTTTTCCATGTTTTACCTACCTGTTCAAATCAAGAACGAATTGACTAATTTCAAGAAAATGTACTTTTAGTCCATGTTCTGCAGTGGAGGTTCTCCTTAAAAGAGGAATGTGGCAGAAACAGTGGAAACCCTAGTTGAGGCGAATATCTTTGGGAGCTTTTCTTTTATCAAGGCACATTTCTTATGGGTTCTTTTGTTTTGACATCATTTTCCTCCAATTAAGAACATTTTTTTCTTTGTTACTAATGGATGATTTATATTTCTGTCTCCAAATCTTTATATTTGACTACGTCAGAAAGACCTAATCCAAACATGAGGTTTTGTTGAATTGCTCTAGTTAAACATTCCCTGAACAAGTGAAAGTCTAAGGACATGCAAACATACGGTAGTTTTAGTGCGTCTGTTCAAAATATACAACAACAAAAAAGTGGTTGGTGGTTAATATTGCAAAACCCTCACCGGTCATTATTTGCATGAGGAAAGAAACAACTTATACCAAAGCTTTTACTGGATTTATTTGTTTTTTTTTGTTTTTCTCATCAGTTCTGGGAATGTTTAGAATTCTTTTTTGTTTGCATATTTTTGCTTTACCGTGAAACTGGAGGCGAAGGCTCGAAGGTCTGACGTGTTTGTTTCTGTGTTTCTGACTGAATGGGTCCGTGTGTGTCGCTCTCCCTGTGTCACGTGCCGTGTTTTGTTACCCTTCACGTGGATGTGTGTGTGTGTGTTTGTGCATTTGCCTGTGCACCTGTGTGCACCTCCCTCCCCCACCTGGCTTTTTCAGATCCACCTATAAGGACTGTAACACCCTACACCTCCCCATGGAGCGCTTCTCTCCTGTCAGACGCTTCTCCGACGGCGCCGCTTCCATCCAGGCCTTCAAGGCACATCTGGAGAACAGCAGCCTCATTAAGCAGCTCAAGCAGGTGCATCTCTAAGTTTAATGAGGGGAGGGGGGGCTGTTTAATTTTTAATTTTTTTTTTTTCTTGTGGTTTTGTCGCATTTAAAGCATGTACATTCTTTACTTTGGTCATTCTAAAAAGGTTATAGCTGAACACACAGTGGTTAATAATAAGTAACATGAAAAAGATTACTTAAAATAAAATCCGATAATCACAAAAACCCTTAAAGGCATCAGATCGAATCTCGGATTCTTTTTAAAAGATAATTTGCTGTGAATCCAGCAGATGTTTTGATGTATTTTATTCCAAAAAGGCAATAACATAAATATAAAAGATTTATTCAGAGCATTGGTTCTTGGGCATGGTAAAACAAACTGCACTTTGTTGGAACCCTAAGTTTAAAATCATTAAAATCAAGCTGAAGTATTTTATTTAAAAATATTTTGGTCTGACACGGACTAAACATAATATCCTCCTTTTAAAGGAAAAGTCCGGTCAGCAGGGAATAATCAGTGGATCATTATCTATAACTAAAGCAATAACTTTCGTCTCGATTGCTGCATCTGGGAGCGGCCATTTATGCCCAAATATAGTAACCCCTCCCTCCTGCCAACTTCTGGCAGTGACGT